ATCAAGAAGCTTGCCAAGGAGTCTGAATTGGATGGTGTTCGGTATCTTTTACATCAAATGAAGTTAGAAGGACTTAGCTGTAATGAAGATTTGTTTTTGAGTGTGATTGATTCTTATAGGAGAAAGGGGCTTGGCCAAGAAGCATTAAGAATTTTCTGTGGGATTGGGGAATTTGGGTGCAAACCGACTGTGAGAATTTATAATCACGTATTGGATGCATTGCTTAGTGAGAATAGGTTTGAGATGATTAATCCAATGTATCAAAATATGAAGAAAGATGGTTTGGAGCCTAATGTGTTTACATATAATATTCTCTTGAAAGCACTATGTAAGAACAATAAGGTAGATGCTGCCTATGAAATGCTTGTGGAAATGTCAAAAAAGGGATGTTCCCCTGATATGGTGAGCTATACAACTTTAATATCTTCTATGTGTAAGCTTGGCAACTTAGAGGAAGCAAGGAGGCTTGCGCTCAGATATGGACCAGTTGTGAGTGTTTATAATGCTTTGATAAATGGTTTCTGTGGTGACTTCAAATTTAAGGAGGCCTTTTGTTTGTTAGGTGAGATGGTGGAGTATGGTCTAGATCCTAATGCTATCACTTATTCAACGATTATCAGTTCTCTTTCTGATGTAGGGAAGCTCGAGATGTCCCTGGCAATGTTGGCCAAGATGTTTGTGAGAGGATGTAGCCCCAACGCCCACACATTTGCTTCATTGATAAAAGGCTATTTCATGGCAGGAAGGGTGCATGAAGCTCTTGACTTGTGGAACCTTATCACTGGAGAGGGATTTCTGCCCAACGTTGTTATGTATAACACCCTAATTCATGGCCTTTGCTACAATGGAAATATCAGTGTGGCTGTATGTGTCTCCTACCAGATGGAGGAAAGTGGCTGCTGTCCAAATGCAACTACATACAGTTCTCTTATTAATGGCTTTTCAAAGTCATCTGACTTGGTTGGTGCATCTGAGACATGGAACAGGATGATGGCTAATGGATGCCACCCTAATGTTGTGACATATACCTGCATGGTGGATGTACTTTGTAGGCATTCTTTGTTCAATCAAGCTCATGGTCTTATAGAGAAGATGGTGTTGGATAATTGTCCTCCTACTATGGTGACTTTTAATACATTTATAAACGGTTTGTGTAGTAGTGGACGAGTAGAGTGGGTAGTGAAGGTGCTTGATCAAATGGGGGTTTATGGGTGCTCGCCTAACACCATGACATATAATGAGCTGTTGGATGGTCTTTTCAAAGAAAATAGATTAGAAGAAGCTCTTGGACTTGTCAAGGAGATGGAAGCAAAGGGGATAGAATGGAGTTTGGTAACTTATAATACCATTTTGTCTGGATTTTCTCATGTTGGTATGCTAGCAGAGGCACTGCAGCTTCTGGGGAAAATGCTTGTGCAGGGAATAAAGCCTGATGCTTTCACACGTAATACAATAATTTTCACCTTCTGTAAGCAGGGTCAAGTTAAGACTGCCATCCAACTTTTTGATAGAATGTCAGCAGGAGGTGATTGGCACCCAGACATGGTATCATATACTAGTCTTTTATGGGGGATTGGCAATTGGATTGGTGTAGAAGAAGCAATCGGTTACTTTAATAAGATGATTTCTGAGGGAATA